ACCCTGAACCCTGAACCCTCGCGCCTCATCCACCCAGGGATATTCGGAAGTTGGCGATGAGACTGCTTGCGCTCTCTGGACAGGGGCTTCGCAAGCCCAAGATTGGGTGCTTGTTAAGGAATGGTACTGTATATCGTGGCTGTGGTACCTGATCCTGCAATCCTTAGAAAGGTCCCGGAAAACTCGTGCTGCATTCAATCGCTGCAATGACATTGCGGCGTGGAGTTCGGGGCTTAACGGCTTTGAGTTTACAGCTCAGAAGCATAGAGTTGATAAAGTTTGCGAGGTTCGGGGGTGTTGGTTTTACAGGGTTTGGACCTTCACAAGCTGACGAACGCGGCTTCAGGGTCTACAGGGTTTTGGGGGCTTTGGGGGTGGTAGCCTTGGCGCTCAAATCTCCCCACTCGCCTGCGGGTCCCAAAGCCGGGGCGTCCGGCCAAGCAGCGCTGCCAAGCGCCTGCGGAGCGTCGTTTGCCGGTTTAGGGAGTCTAGGGTGCGGGCGTTAGGGCTTCGGGTTTGGGATCCCTTCTAGGGGTCCCTCCTTATACCCCTTAAGATGATCGAGTCCATGTAGCCTACCCTGACTGGAAGGCTGCGAGTGTCGAGGTAGTATCAGTGTTTCTTTTTATTCCTCATGCTCTTGCTAGAAGCCGCCAAACTACGTTTCAAAACTATGTAATAACACCAACTTGTCCATTTGCGGATGCTCATGTCTTCATCTCTCGTTTTACTATTGCACTGAGATAGGAGGAGGAGGAGGAGGAGTAGTAGTTGTAGTAGTAGCAGCAGCAGCAGCAGTAGTAGTAGCAGTAGTAGCAGCCGCAACCCTTAACCCTCAACTTGCCCTGAACCCTAAACCCTAAACCCTAAACACCCAAACCCCAAACCTAAACCCTAAACCTAAACCCTAAACCTAAACCCTAAACCCTAAACCCTAAACCGGCTACTCATCGCGGACGGGCTCCCGCCTCGGGTGCCTTCCGGCAGCGCGGGAGAGCCGGAGCAGCGCGCGGAGGGCCGCGCGCTCGGTGGGGCAGCTGGAAAGCTGCGAAAACATGCTGCGATGTCTTGGGCTTAGGGCCTCTTATTGGGACGTTCCCCTGATCCATGGGCTTAGGGCCTCTTATTGGGACGTTCCCCTGATCCATGTCCCAAAAAAAGTGGGATGTCTATAGGGTTCAGGGTTGAGGGTTGAAGGTTGGGTTTAAGTAGACACTTCGGCTTAGGGTTTAGCCTTAGGGTTTGGGGCAAGTCGAAGGGTTTTTTAGGGTTTTGGGTTGAGGGTTTGGGGCTCTAGGGCCATACAGGGCAGTGACTTAAAAAGCCTACTAGGGCTTCTGACTTTGTATGGAATGGAGTATCGGGTCTTTGCCGGCTGCTTCTCTTGTCGTCACATGTGGGGGACGTGAGGTGTACGACGGTCATTGTCTATAATATTCTCGGGTTGAAGGACCCGCCAGGGAAAAGATGGCCAGAGGGGCCGGCGGGCCTGAACACGGGGCGACAGAGGTCGACCCCAGGGGGCGTTCTCTGAGCAGCTTGAGCCGACCAAGGCATTGGAATTTTGGGGCTTAGGGTCTTAGGGTGTTCGGGTCTTAGGGTTTTGGGGACGGGGTTGTGGGGTTTAGGGGGTTTAGGGGTTTCGGGATGAAGGTATTTCTGCGGTTTAGAGTTCAAAAGAGCCGCAAATCCCTCCACCCCCGAGACCAAGCCTGCGCCACATTCCGATGCGTTCAAGGTTTAGGGCTTTGGATTTCAGGTTTAGGGCTTAGGGTTCGGGTTTCGGATCCTCAACTTCAGGGCTTAGGGTTTCGGATCCTCAACTTCAGGGTTTAGGGTTTAGGATCCTCAACTTCAGGGTTTGTTGGGTTTCGGATCCTCCTGCACTTTGAGAAACTCTTCGACTTGAGCACGTCCCGAGCCTCTGCCTCGGTCGCAGAGAGAAGGACACCTGGCCAACAGAGGATGCAGGATCTGCTGCTAGGGGGCCTTAAGAATTAGAAGAGGGTTTTGAGGGTTCTGATGGTACAAATACAAAGGGGCCACAAGGGAATACTCATAGCAATATTTACTATTATTCTTATTATTCTTATTGATATGATGATTATTATTATTATTCCGACCCCCTATATTTAAATGGATCGAGAGTTCCGGGCTTGGGCATGCTTGGGCAGCTTCAGGCCGCGGGCTTTGGGCTTGCTGTACAGTTTTGCGCCCTGACAGCCACCCCCCCCATCTTGCTTTCCACCCCTTTCCCTCCAGAACCTTCACGGCAGCCCTCCGCCGATGAGTACGGAAGGAAAGGAGAGGGAGTCAGGGCGGCGCGAGAAGCCGCGTTTATGAGACATGTTTCAAGCAGACGTGGCCTCGTGATGGACCCAAGCCACACCTGAAATCAGGTGCCAACACGCCGTGGGGGGGGGGGGGGGGGGTTTAAATTCCTTCCTTTCGGCGGCAGAGGATGCTCAATTTTACAAAGTGATGAAGTGCAAACGAGTGCATGCACCGACATAACATGTATATACATATATATATATATATATATATATGCTACCAATATATATACATATATATATATATATACATACATACATAAATATATGCCAATACATGGAAATGAAAAAACCTTGACTGTGGTACAAGTGCTGCATGTTCCAGAGCTTCTGGCCACTTCGGCGCTGCACGGTCCTGGAAGGATGCGCTGAAAGTAGAACGAGCCCCGGCCCTCGGAACCCCTAAACCCTAAACCCTAAACCCTAAACCCTAAACCCTAAACCCTAAACCCTAAACCCTAAACCCATCTAAACCCTCGAGGCTTGGGTTTAGGGCTTCGTAGCTTGACTGCATGCTGGAGACTTCAAGGGCCCGATAGAAGGGGCCTATTGAGTTGGGGTTCAGGGAGCTGCAAAGGGCCCTCTTGGATTACAATGGGAGCTTTGGGTGATTTCCACTCCAAGCATGTGTGTAAAGTGGATGAAGTCGCAGCTTCTGTTTCTGTGGCCTTTTCGTGGTCGCGGTCGCGGCCGCAGCCGTGCCCGTGGTCGTGGTCGTGGTCGGTCGTCGTAGTAGCAGCAGCAGCAGAAGTAGAAGTACTCAGAGCAAGAATAAAGAGTGGAAATCTTGCTTCCCTTCAGTCCTTCAGGCTTGCGCCCTCCGCTTCACGGCCTCTCAGCGACTTGGAAGGGGGTTCTAGGTTTTCTTGCGTTTTAGGTGGGGGGGAGGGGGGGTTAGGGAATGAAGGGGTGGGCAATGGTTGCACTGTGAGGGTTTGGGATTCAGGGTTGCTTTGGTTTTGGCTGAAACTCGAGCCAAGACTAGGCAGCAGGGAGGTGTCCACGTCTTATTATAGCCTTCCATCAGCCCCCCCCAGCGCAGGCCTTGCAAAATCCTAGAGGCCAAGACAGGCTTTTGCCGCGAAGCATTGTAGACACCTCCTGAGCCCGCGACGTTTTGCCATGGCGACTTGCTCCTGGGACAGAGTGCGGGTGCCCCTGTGCCACTTCGATCCCAACTCATTGTCTTGAAGAGGGCTCGCAGCAACAAGAAAGGGCTTAGACCCAAAACGCCTTCAACTTCGGACTGTTGGGTAAGAGGGAAGCCAGGGGCTCTTGGGAAGGAAGCGCATGCGCCCAAGAGCATGCCAGTCCTTCGTGGGCGCTGCTCCCAGTGCAATGGAGCCCTGCTCATTGCCCTCCTGCGAAGATGAAGCATCACACGGTTGGCCAGTCATACGGGCCTTTGCCCGTCTCAAAATACTTGTCCTGATAGGTTACTTGGAGGTTCATGGGTAGTCTACTTCTAACCTACTGAGAGGACTTAGGGGGACTTAGGGAACTTATCAGTACAGTTACACGTGGGGCCATAAAGTACCCTGAACCTCCAAGTAGGTTCCGGTGCCCACAACCACAAGTTTCATCCACCCCCCACCCAGGGTTTAGGCCCACAACTCGCGGGCTCTGTGGGTCGATGCCCGGGCTCCCCCCGCTAGAAGTGTGGCGGGGGCCCTGCAAGGCCACGGCTTGCTTGGCTTGGGGCCTGGGGTTGCAATAGCTGTGGTAGGGGCCACACTTTTCGTCGTGCTGAAGAATCGAATATGCCGGGATAAGATGATCTTTCTATATGTCTATATATCTATATCTATATCTATAAATATCTGTATCTATATCTATATCTATATCTATATCTATATCTATATCTATATCTATATCTATACATACATACATACATACGTACGTACATACATACACACGTACATACATACGTACATACATACGTACATACTTACTTACATACATATACTTACTTACATACCTACATACATACATACATACATACATACGTACATACATACATCTGTATATACACATATTCATACCTCTATATATATACACATAAGTTTCTCGGCCATGGCAGGAACCAATGTCACTGACTTTAGCATGCTGAGGCCCCGGCAAAGAAATTAAGCCTCCTCCCTGCTAAGCAGATGCGTCCGAGCCTTGCTTGTTGACTCCAAGAGATGGGGCCGAGAGAGCATCGCCAGGCTTGGACACATCTCGCTCGACATGTATATATATATATATATACATACATATACATAAATATATATATATATGTACATCGAGTATATGTATATATGTAGTGCGTGTGTGTGTGTACATACCTACTTCTCCATCGTCGTCTGAGCCCTGGGCGAGGGCATTACCACCACGTGCCGAGGTGCGAGGGTGAAGCAATTTGTCCTCAGGGAGGTCACCGAACTCCATGCCAGAAATCCCCCCGCAGCCGCTGCCCTTTAAAGGCTTCTAGCAGCCCCTGAGTAAACTGCAAGAGTCGCAGTTCCGGACTGGGGCTGAGCCCCGCAGCCCCACGAAGGTAGCTATGCGAGCCCGAGCCACGTCTGAAGCGCTGCAAGCGTGGCGCCATCCCAGAGGATGAAGATGCAAGCCTTGCGGATTCCGCGGGGCTCGGTCAATCTTCGCCGCTCCCCAAACACAATCTTCTCAGAGGGCCTCATCCAGGGTCACGAAGACCCTCTGGCCAGCAGACACCTGCAGAGAACTCCCCCCAACTGCGTGAGCTTTCTGGGCAGCGTAGTCTGAAGGCTGGGTGGCCCCGCCCCTAGGAGGTTGGACTGGTGCGCTGAGAGTTTCGCCCTAACCTGAGTGCAGGAAGGGCTTGAGGTGTATGGGGCTTATGGGGCTTCTAGGAAATGCAGGGCTGCAAGGGCGGAAAGGGTTGAAAGACTTTTAGAAACTTATAAGGTGCACGGGCTTATCGGGCTTACAGGGTTTACAGGGCTTACAGGCTTTTCGGGGCAGGAAAGGCGCCGACACTGCACAAAGCATCAGAAAAGAAGCTCCACGCTGAACGGAAAAAAGCCGAGCTCCCGAACACCGCGGTAGGCGGTGGAATCAATGGACCACACGAAAACTCGCTTCTCGCAACCTCGGAGGACGAGGTAGCCTCATTCAGGGCCCTTTTTGGCTGGTTCTTAGTAGGGAATGAAGGAAGGAGGTACCCTTTTTAATCTTTAAAGGGTATATGCAGGACCCTAATTCCCTCATTCCCTACTAAGAAGCAGGGGCTGTTTTGGGGCGCTTTTTGTGTGACTCCTTGGGCTGCGGAGACGAACAAAGCTCCCGGCCCACTGTAACAAGGCTGGAGAACAATGGCAGATACCTCGGCTTCCAGCGGCATACCCCCTTATATCAGAATATACACCCCATACCCCTTATAAAAGCACGTATGCCTACTACCCCTCAGAAATACGTATACCTTCATTCCCATCAGAGGACCCCCTATACAGTTTGGGATCTATTCCTTAGCTAAGAACGCAGAGTGCCTCCACCCGAGTGGGGCTTTGAGAGACTCGCTTGGTGGGCTTAAAAACCCTATAAGGCCTGGACCGGAAGCATAAAATGTCCCCCCCCCCCCCCCGCCAAGATAAGCGCGCCTACAAAAGGGACCTGAATAATCAGAACACGGTCTTGGGGGTTCTTGTTGTATAGTTACTTATAAAGGGACCAGAAGGGACTACTATCAGTAATCATTCCGACCAAACCCTAAACCCTAAACCCTAAACCCGAAACCCTAAACCCTAAACCCTAAATCCTAAACTAACCCGAACCCCTAAACCCTAAACCCCTTTATTAGCGAAGGGTTTAGGGGTTTGAGGTTTCAGGGTTTTGGCTGCGGCATGCTGCCGGGGAGCGCCTGTGACCGGATGGAGCCCGTGTGCTCCTGACCCGCAGAGCTGTGGCTTAGGGTTGAGGGTTTGGGACTGGAGGGTTTTGGGTTTAGGGCTTAGGGCTGAGGGGTTTAGGATTTGGATGCGTGATTTCTTCCGGTGCTTGCATGACGCATGATGCCCTTTGCATGACGCATGATGCCCTTTCTCGTCGACTGGGATGTGGGTTGGGTTGAGGGTGCCCATCGCTGCGCACTCTGGCTGAAACAAACTGATCTGACCCACGTTGAAGTGTCCAAACCCACTCGAGCCCCCAGAACTCGATAGCATCCGAAACCTTGAAAGCCCAGAACTGCTGCAGGGAGGATGGTGGGGGTGGGGTGCATGCTGTGACGTAGTTTTGGACCTCTCGCTTGATGCTCTTCGGTTCTACTGCCCCTCGCGCGGCCAACTTTGTCCTGCCTTGCTGCCACGAAAAGATTCCAGAGGAGGCAGTACTCAAGCACCTTCTCTCGACGGCGCTGGTTGGGGAAGTGCACAGCTATGGGCACATGGCGGTCGATGTGATGCATGAGCACACCGTTTCGCCAGACCCACTGGCTCCAATGCACCTCACGATGAGCGGGGGCCCCAAAGCTGTCACTCTGGTTGCGCATTAGCTGAGTACCCAACACCACCGCCGCGCCGCGCTGCGCAGAGTCCAAATCCACCAGCTCGGCCCACGCGACCCCATCGACGGTGCCGGCAGCGTGCAATCGCCCAGCCCACCACTGCTCCACGCCGGGCTCAGATTGATCCTGCACCGGTGCAGCATCAAGCACGGCTTGCCAGAAGCGCCGCACCTGGCTGGCCGGCCCCACTGTAAAGCCCGCGTTCACGAACCTGTTCGAGCCCACAGGCCCAAAACCGTGGGTTTTGGGCCGCTGGCTTGGGAAAGGGTAGCAGGTTTGGTCGTGAGCCGTAAGCTCTCCCTCTGCCGGCATCGCCGTGTAGGGCAGCTCGCCTTTACCATTGCAGAGTGCTTCGGCGCTTATCCACACATTGCCTGGCCGGCAATTCTCGCGGTAGGCTTGGCGGAGGGCTTCGGGGCCCTGCTGGAGGAAAGCATCGTAGTCCAGAACAACCACGAGGTCTTCGCCGAGCTGTGGGAGGAAGGAGACCAGAGGGACGAGCTTCGAATGGAAGGGACCGCGCCAGGGAGTTCCCATGCCCAGCACATGGGGCGGGGGATAGCCCTGCCAGGCAGCCGATGCTCTGAGGCGCCGCAGGTATCCTGTGTCCGAGGTCGCCCAGGTCACCACCTGAACCGAGTCGTTAGCTTCCGCATCTGCTCGGTAGCCCTCGTGGCCCTCGTAGCCCTCGTAGCTCTCGTAGCTCTGGCTGTCTAAAAGCTCCGTACACAGTGGTTCCCTGTAGTGTAAGGTCAGGCCAGCCAGCGAGAAAGCCACGGCGCAAAGCAATGACAGGGCGGTCAGGGCACGCAGTCTCAGCCGGCATAGCATGACACTAACATCAGTATCAAGGCCAGTGCCACTGCGTGCACTTTGGGTCGTCTACTTCTACTCCTTGTTGGGATTCCGACTCAGAACGTTTGACGTCGTCTATCAAGTTACGACAGCTCCTTCAAGTGTAGACAGCAATGAAACCTGCAGCCGTCGCTAGCAGTTGCCCCAGTACGTACGAGCATAGGCCCTAAACATCTGCGAGCCAAAGGAACCGCGGCAAGTGAATCATCGTTGCCTTGAGGTCAGTCATCGGTTCGCTGAAGCTGTCTATGGCTTGGGGTCTGAATTAAACCCTAAACCCTAAACCCGAAATCCTTGAATCTCAACCCGGGGACTCTTCTTTTGGATTTAGGGTTTAGGGAATTGGGGCTTCGGGCGGGCTCAATGTTCCACCCACTACTATAGGGGCAAGCACATGTGGAATCTGTTTGCGGAAGAAGGGGCGGGGGGGGGGGAGGGGGGAAATGGGGTACCACTGAAGAAATGCTCTTTGTCTTCAACTACTTCCCTAGACCCTAAACTCTAAACCCTAAACCCGAAACCCGAAACCCGAAACCCTGAACCTAACCCTTTCAAAAAGGCTCCGTCCTCCAGCTTCACCTCCGGCCCAGAGAGGTTGCGGTGATCCCAGAGGCAGACCTGGGTTTAGGGTTTAGGGTTTATGGTTCAGGGTTCAGGGTTTAGGGTTTAGGGTTTAGGGTTTAGGGTTCAGGGTTTAGGGTTTAGGGTTTAGGGTTTAGGGTTTGGGGTTTAGGGTTTGGGGTTTAGGGTTTAGGGTTTAGGGTTTAGGTTTTAGGTTTAGGGTTTAGGGTTTAGGGTTTAGGGTTTAGGGTTTAGGGTTTAGGGTTTAGGGTTTAGGGTTTAGGGTTTAGGGTTTAACAAGCTTTGTGGCATTGTCGAAGCTCCGCAGGCAATGCTTTCCCAACATGAACCTTCAACTGCCAGACTGGGAGGGGGGGACACACAAACGCACACATACAAACAGACTGACACATACATGACTGACAAAGAAACCAAGAGGAAGAGTTGAGACTTTAGACATTAGCTTGAAGTCTCCCTGGGTTGCTTCGTTTAGTATTTGGACATCAAAGGGTCGGGATCAAGGTTGGGGGTTTTAGGGTTTTGGGGCCTCAGAGCTCGCCAAAGCACGGACGGACTACCTCTCAAGTCTCCAAATAGCCTTGGGCTTCGGATTGAAGGTACACGGTCCCCCTAAACCCTAAACCCTAAACCCTAAAGCCTAAAGCCTAAAGCCTAAAGCCTAAAGCCGAAAGCCCTAAGTCCAACCCCCCTCCGGTGTGCCCAAGGACATGGCCAGTCGCCACGCAATGATCTTGCCCAACAATGGACATGCATATGGCTGATACATACGTATGTGTACATATATATATGTATATGTGTATATGTATGCGTGTGTGTGTATGTATATATGCGCGTGTGCATATATATATATATATATATATATATATATAGTGTGTGTGTATATACATATATACATTACAGCACTTCTGGATAGCACACACACACACACGCGCACACACACACACACACACACACACACACATATATATATATATATATATATATATATAATAGGTTGCCCAAGAAGGCTCCCCTGAAACGACCCCTCTGTGGGCCCCTGGCAGAGCGGTCCAGGCTGCCCGTGGTGAACTTGAAGGTGCTCAGCTCCAGGAAAGTCGTGATCTCGGAAAAGTGAAAGGGCTCAGTGCCCTGTGGGAGCTGGTGCAAGCTGCTTTAGGGTTTGTAGGGTTTAGGGTTTGGGGTTTAGGGTTCAGGGTTCAGGGTTTAGGGTTTAGGGTTTAGGGTTTAGGGTTTAGGGTTTAGGGTTTAGGGTTTAGGGTTTAGGGTTTAGGGTTTAGGGTTTAGGGTTTAGGGTTTAGGCCCTTTGAAATCAACTGAAGGCCACGTAGGCCGACTCGAGAGGCTGCGCAGGGTTGAGGCGCTGAAGGGCCTTCAGGCAGGATTGCTGGGCACCCCTGCGGCTTTGCTGTGGGCCTGCAGCACCTGCCGGGAGAGCTCCGCACAACTCGGGTGGGTTTAGGGTTTAGGGCTTGAGGACTCAGGGGCTGCTGCTAGGGTTTAGGGTTTAGTGTTTAGGGTTTGGGGCTTAGGGGTTTGGCTTGCGGATATGGGTTCGTACTGTAGAAATCTGCAAGCAAGATAAAGAGATGACAATTGCTTTCGAGACAGCCCCCACACCTTTGTGGGCGCGATGGACGTCGCAATGCTGTGCTCTCGCAGATCCCACAAAAGCAGCCTCCGACTCAATCGGGCTGGACACAACTCGGGTTTCGGGTGGGTGGCTTAGGGCTCCGTCCCTCACGCACTCGCAGTGCGCAACTTCCCTGCATCTCCTGTGGCCACAGTACTGCTGGCGCCAAGCAACCAGGACACTTGAGACAGACAAGCGATGGGCCTTCCGTTGTAGTCGGCCGTCACCCAGCACTTCATGCTGGCCTCTGGAGGGTCGGCGGGAATGTGAGCTTCTCTTCGTCAGCTGCCGCTGAGAAACCAAAACACACATGTCTCTTTAGGCACGAACCCTAAACCCTAAACCCCAAACCCTAAACCCTAAACCCTAAACCCTAAGCCCTTGTCATCCTTGGAAGGGGCTTTCAAGGCGCCGGCACTCCACCAGATGTCCAGCTGCTGCGCCGCTTCTGCCGCAAAGCGCCTCGGCGCAAGGGCAGCGCAGCGGGCTCGAAGTCAATGACCCCACATCGTTCAGAGGGATCTCGGATTGAGCTTCGTTCCGAAAAGCGGTAAGACCGGTGAAAGCCCCAAACCCTAAACCCTAAACTCCTGAATCCCTGAATTCCAGGCCCTCCCCACAAGCGTTCCGGGAGCCCCGCAGCAAGACCCCGAAACCGAACCCACAAAAACACGAGAGGTTCAGGAGTCAGGCTCTTGGCCGGCTCAGGGTTTAGAGTTTGGGGTTTAGGGTTTAGGGTTTAGGGTTTAGGGTTTAGGGTTAGAACTGGGGATATAAGTGGGGTAGCTTTCAATACAACTGGTTGCAGCCTTTCCTCGGGTAGTGACATGCCAACCTGCGACTACCCATGAGCCTTCACACAAGGCCTCTGCAGAGATACCCCTCATACTAAGCCCTAAGCCCTAAACCCTGAAACCTAAACCCTAAACCCTAAACCCTAAACCCTAAACCCTAAACCCTAAACCCTAAACCCTAAACCTAAACCCTAAACCCCTTTCTCTTAACAGAAAGTAAAACCGAAGGTCGAGGTGCTCTTCGCGCTTGTCGCGCCGCGCCCCCGCTTCCGAGGGCTCCTTGCCCCCCTCTACTTGGAGGGTCATTCGTGTTTAGGGTGTAGGGTTTAGGGTTTAGGCTTTAGGGTTTCGGGTTTAGAGCTTAGCTCTAACTGCTTAGGACCACGCTTGGAGCGTGTTTCACTTCGGACTTCTGGGGCTTGAAGTTACATGACCCCCCCCCCCACCCCACTGACGTTCTTTGGGAGGCTTAACTAGCAGATACAATTTGAGGGTGATTGAGAGAGCTTCCTTGGAGTTCCGAGTTGTTCAGATAGGTCAGATAGGTCTTTACCGGGGTTTTAGTGTTGTTCTAGGGTATTTCGTAGAGGTTTGTTTAGGGTTCCGGGAATTCAATTGGGTGGTTGGGCTGCCTTCGTGTTTGGGAGGGGTGGGGCATGGTGGCTGGTTGCCTGAAATATTGGCGGCTTCTTATAGATAGTGTTGTTCAGGGTTTCTACGGTTCAAGGTTGCGGGGTGTGTGGGGTTTAGGGTTTGGGGTTTGGTTCTTACAGTTTATGCATGCGGTCTTGCTGTCTCGAAGAAGCTCCCTGGACAAGCTATGTAGAAATGAAGTACTGTGAATTCGCTGGCCAAGCCTTTGACGGTGCAGGCGTCTGGCACTAGTCAAGATCGTAAGTGCATCTCCGAACTCGAGCATGTTCAAGAGGGTTACAGTGTAGCGCTCGGGAGCCTGAACCCTAAACCCTAAACCCCAAACCTTAAACCCTGAACCCTGAACCCTGAACCCTGAACCTTAACTGGCCTTAACTTTGAACCCTGAACCCCGGTTCCCTTACCCTCCTCTGCACGCCGAAGCCCTACTTGGAGGTTCATGGGTACATACAAGTAGGGAAATAAGTAGTGAAACCTCCTGCCCGACACTGCTTATTTCAGTATGGCAGGGCTCCTTTCCACTGGGTGGATCCTGGGCGAACTCCTCGGAGGTAGTTTTAGGGTTTTAGGGCTCAGGGCTTAGGGTTGAAGGGCTTAGGGTTTAGATTAGGGGGTTAAGGCTTTATAGGACGTAGGGTTAGGGCTTAGGGCGTTAGGGCCTTTAAGGGCCTTTTAAAGCTTCAGGGCTGTAGGGTTTTGGGCTTTCTAGAGTTTAGGGGCTGTTAGGATTTCAAAGGTTTTATGGCTGTTTAAGGCCTTAGGCTTAGCTTGGGGGTTTAGGGCTCCGGAGTTCGAAGCTTTAAGGGCTTTTAGGGTTCAGGGTTTAGGTCTAGGGTTTAGGGTTTAGGATATCTGTAGATACTGAAGCTAAGGCCCTCGGCGAGGCTACCAAAAAACGGCCGGCAAGAACTAACGACGATGACGATCATCACAAAGCATGAAACTCCAAAAAACACAAGAGCCATCATTTGCAAAAGCTAGAAAAGCAAGTGCAACGACTATAACCATTCAATATGAAGGTACTAAACCCTAAAACCCTAAAACCCTAAAACCCTAAACCCTAAACCCTAAAACCCTAAACCCTAAACCCTATACCCTAAACCCTAAACCCTAAACCCATGAACAGCATGATCGAGTTCTGCCACCCAGCCGAGGCCGGGACCCCGTTCTTGGGGTCCAGCGTGCGCAGGTGCACCTGGCCGGCAGCTGCGGCGGAACGCATGGGCCATCGTCAGAACAATATTGAGAATAGTTAATAATAATTAATAATAATAAATAATAATTAATAATTAATAATAATAATAATAATAATGATGATACTAATAGTGCTAGTAATGTTAAGAGTAATAATCATAATCATAATAATCATAATGATGATGAGAATTATAAGAATAATGAACATGACAACGTGAGGAAAGCAACCGAAAGATGTAACCTCATGCAACTTCAATAGTTAGATCGAGAACAGCTCGTCTTTTCAGTTTTGAACCCCCAAGGCCCCTGAAAACGCCCCGCGCCTTCCACTGGCTGATCTCGTGCTCAGAGGAGTTGCGCCCCTGCGAAAGAGTTAGAATCAAGAACTAATCAATAGAAATAAGAAGTATAGTAATACAATAGCGCAATCGAGTATGATACCTACACGATTCTGACTCTCATACCTGCACGCTCATGCGCTTCTTGAGCCCTAAATCCCAAACCCTGACAGCAGAATGTACCACAGCCAATGAGCTCGCAGGGCGTCCTCCCGCCGCGTGGCATGGAAGCGGAACTCTTTCTTCTGCTGGAACTGGCCCTGCCCATGCTGCGAGTTGCGAGATTAGGGTTTAGGGGTTTAGGGTTTAGGGTTTATTAGGGTTTAGGGTTTAGGGTTTAGGGATTTAGGGTTTAGGGTTTAACGCTTTCGGGTAAAGGCTTTAGGTGGTAAGGGCTGAAGGTTTAGAACTCTTTGCCGTTTCCGAGGTCGAGGACTACACGTCCGGCATTGCAGTCAGACTGTAGACAGCAGGACGAGCATGCTGCGAACGTGCACCGCACAGTCTTGAAAGGCCACGAAGCCACGCCGCTACGAATAGGAAGCAAAACATGGAGTTGCGCCAAATTCTCTACAATATAATCAAAAAACTACAATGTCTATAGCAACCGCAACAACCTTCACAACGTTAACTGCTATAGCTGCTATGTCCGATGACTATAGCTAGTACAAAAATAGAACTCTATGTTGAATAGAACTATTGTTACTAAAGTGTGCTGACTAGAACTTACCAGGAACCCCCCGGCCTTGTCGCGGTTCCGCAGGCGCCAGAAGATGAGAAAGCGATTACTAAGCAACGCCACCAAGTCCTTCAATCGCGCCACCAAAGACATTCTTGTTCAGGAACGTCAACTAGCAATCAGGATACTAGGTAAAATCTACTGTATGAGACCCTATGATACTTGCTTTTCCTGTTCCTTCATGCGCGTGCAGAAGATGCGGCCCCAGATCGTTTCAGCAGTAGGATCCGAGAGTCTCCAATACCCAATACTGATTAGGGAAGACTCCTCTACTTGTCACAGGGGTCCTATTGAATATCCAAGTAGGGAAGACTCGTGAATGGCAACAGAGATCCTAGTTGCGATCTGAGGAGTATGGATTACCTAAAGGTTATTGGAGTTTCTGGGAAGAAGTAGAAGCATGGGCTCATGCCACACAGTCCTGAGAGTCGTTGTCCCAGGCAACGGCATGAACTGTCCACAACGGCCTCAGTGGAGTACAGTATGGGGGTTTAGGGTTTAGGGTTTAGGGTTTAGGGTTTAGGGTTTAGGGTTTAGGGTTTAGGGTTTAGGGTTTAGAGTTTAGGGAAAAGGGTTTAGGGATACCTTACTGGGGTCCTTATTATAAGAGCGTCCTACCATTTAAGGGTCTGTTGTAACCCGGGTCCCCTATTTCGTAAACCCCCGTCTCTGTGCAGAAACACTGAGCAGTCTTGAAGCTTCCGCGCACCGGACAAAACCACGAGACCCACAAGACCACACGAGCCCACTGAGAACGGGCTGCTTGAACCCCAGAGCTGCGTGGCAGCAAGACTGGCCCTCTCCAACGGAGCACGGGCCATGAGGGCGGCACTTTTGCCGCTCGTCATAAAAGTCTGGCGGCAACTGAGGCGTGACCTTAGAAAGGCCATGGTTGCATCATGTATATGACAGTGGACACAAGCCCCTGTCACCCGCGCAGGAGGAGGAACCATCAAGAGAGCTGAGACCCAGGCAACTCGTGCTGTTTCCTCGGCCACAAGAGCGGCTTCTCTTCCAAGACATGCGTGGCAGCTGTTTCTTGAGGGCATCTGGCATGATCTTGCTCTGACTATTTCTGTAGCCCCAAACCCCAAAACAAGGCTTCCCTAAACCCTTAAACCCAAAACCCTAAGCCCTTTGAGGAAAACGAGACGCTAACGCCAAGGCTCCCAAGCCATAAACGGCGACCAGAAGTACACGGACTCGGTGCCTTCTACCTGCAGCAGGCCGGGGGATGAGGTGCAGGGTTTGAGGGTTTTAGAGTTTTAGGGTGTCAGGGTGTTAGGGTGTTAAGGGCTTAGGGTTTAGGGTCTAGGGGTTGAGGGTTTTAGGGTTTAGGGTTTAGGGTTTAGGGGTGCACTGTCCGGTCGTTGCTTCGAACCTTCTCTGGCCTCCACTTAAAGGGTTGCGACTTTGGCCTTTCTACCAGAAAATCCATACACCCCACCTAAACCCTCGAAAGTCTGTGTTGCCCCACCCCCCCCCCCCCCCATTTTCATAGCCCAAATAGAGCAGAATCCTCAAGGGACCAGGAGGCAGTCCTTCGGAACCCTCAACCCTAAACCCTCAACCCGAGAATAAGGCGAACTACAACTAGATGGGTGATAATACAACCAGATGGGGTAAAAACACAACTGAAATCTTGAAATTTTGGCTCAGATGGGGGATAATACAACCAGATGGGGGATAATACAACTGGGGGGGGGGGGTCTTTAGGGTCTTAGAGTGGGCTGCCAAGGGTGTGGAGGGATTTTGGTTGAATTGTTGCTTTTGTTGAGCTATTGGAGGCCAAGGGTTTGGAGGGATTTTGGTTGAATTGTTCCTTTTGTTGAGTTATCGCAGGCCAAGGGTTTGGAGGGATATTGGTTGAATTGTTGATTTTGTTGAGTTATTGGAGGCCAGGGGTTTGGAGGGATGTTGGTTGAGTTTTTGATTTTGTTGAGTTATTGGAGGCCAGGGGTTTGGAGGGATTTTGGTTGAATTGGTTTTGTTGAGTTATTGGAGGCCAGGGGTTTGGAGGGAGTTTGGTTGAATTGTTGGTTTTGTTGAGTTACATAAATATATACATACATACAAATATGTATATATATATATATATATATATTCAGCACTGTATTTTACATTGTTATATCAGACATAATATAAGCATTCCATTGTATACTATGCTCGTGCTATGGCGCAAAGAGAAGGGATGAATCACAATCGCCATTGTCCAGATTTTGTCCTGAAACCTTAAGGATGCACCATGGTTTTTCTGCAGGGCATGTCCAAACGTATAAAGGCACCGCAAGAGCCAGTTGTAGTTTCTCCCGTTCGGGCCAGTCCACAAACATGGTTCAGTTGTGTTTTCCGCCCGTTGGGTTGTGTTTTCTCCCGTTTGGTTGTGTTTCGACCCGGTCGCCCCTCAACCCTCATAAACCCTAAACCCTAAACCCTAAACCCTAAACCCTCATCCCTACACCCCCTGAAAAAACCCCCAGGAGACCATCCCTCAAGGCTCCCCCTCCTCCTACCCCCACCCTCCCCCAAGTTCGGCACTGAGGTCAGCATCTCCAGGGACGCCATCCAGTTGATCTTGTGGATGACTGAGCCCTGGGTTTGGGGATTCCGGGTTCAGGGTTTAGGGTTTAGGGTTTGGGGTTTAGGGTTTCGGGTTTAGGGTTTAGGGTTCAGGGTTTGGGGTTTGGGGCTCAGGGATTAGGGTTTGTGGTTCCGGGTTCAGGGCTTAGTGTCAGGTTGCACAGGCAAACAGTTGCCCTACTAAAACCCCTAATTACCCCAAACCCTGACCCTATACACCCTAAACCCCCCAAGCGGCAACTATCATGTATCTGTCAGAAGTGCTGTGTTGCCAGACAAACCTCGCAGATCTATTGAACACCCGTGGTCCGCGCCATGTGCTTGGCGCAATCAACGACGTTGCTCCGTCGGACCTGCGGATGACGTAGGGGGGGTTTCCCGAAAATTCGGGCGGGGGGGCATCCTTTTCAGGGGGAATTCTTCTACAGATCTCTCTTCTTGGAGAAACTCCACACTCTCCATGTTCTGGCCCACACCTGCGCCAAGTTCTCCGTACCCGACACGCTCTTCGGGCCGGCGGAGGAAACCTGCGTAAACGCACGGGCCACGCGGTGATGCGCCAGAGTTTCTGGTTTAGGGTTCCGGTAGCGGATGCTGGTTTATGGCGGCCTCGGGGTAGTGTAACATAACCCCAACCCGAAACCCTAAAACCCTACACCCTAAACCCTGTGCGCAGTAGCATCCAGCTGCCTCGCTGCCTTCGAACATGACGATCTCCGGGGATTCGATGAAGTGGTTCATCAACTGACAGGTTGACGACAGAGCCAAAGATCGTGGAAGAGCTCAGTTCCCCTAGAAAGCGCGTAAAGAAACATGTTTGGTTGTCATACTTACCCATATAGCTGTAGAGATATCATACTTACACATATAGTCATATAGATATATAGTTATAAGTTATAACCCTGAGAACATCATAAAGTTGAAGCCCTCCCTGCAGCCAGAGACACGTCGCCTGCGCCCAGTTCACGGCACGTTCAGAGGCCCGCTCGCCCTGTGATCGGAAGACCTGGCGAGACGAATGGGAGCCCATAGAAGAAAAAATTCTGACAGTAGCTGGCTCTGCACGTGACCAGCAGCGCCTGCTTGAACTTGAAGTACTTGGCCCTCACTTTTTTTGTCCCTAAACCCTAAACCCCTGAACCCTGAACCCTGAACCCTAAACCCTAAACCCTAAACCCTGAACCCCTGAACCCCTGAACCCCTGAACCCTAAACCTTTGCCAGCCTCCAAGTAGAGGTCGACCACGCCGCTCACAAAAGCCAGCACCTCAGAGACGAACAGCATGTCGGCGTAGGCGAAATGGGTTTAGGGTTTCGGGTTTAGAGTTTAGAGTTTAGGGTTTAGGGTTTAAGGAGTAGGATTTGGTGAACTCAACATCGAGCGCGTGCAGAGCCCTAAACCCGAAACCCCCAAACCCCCGAACCCCCCAACCCCAAAACCCCAAACCCGAAGCCCTAAACCCTAAACATCCCTAAACCCCGCCCCAGCCCCAAATGCTAGGATGACAGGTCCTGTGGGCAGGGACCCGGTCCGCATCGTAGGTGCCAGTGCTCACGATGGCCTGCTTGCGGGGTTTGGGGTTCAGTCTTCAGGGTTGGGGGTTGAGGGTTTAGGGTTTAGCGCTCAAACTGCCCCTCAGCCTACTTGGAAATTCATTGGGCAGTTGCACATGAAGTTTTAACATAGGATAGCTAACTGTTACAACTGGGCCTAGCCTCAGCTGGGGTACTTGTCACCCTACTTCCATCTACACCTAATCCTTCAAGTAAACCTTGTGTACTAGCACTCCTTACTTAATAGGGACTAGAATCGGGGGTACCCTCAAACCCTAAACCCTAAACCCTAAACCCTAAACCCTACTATAGTCCCCATTCGGGACAGTTAGCAAAAAGGGGGGGAACATCCCGAAGAAAACCCTACACATAAGCCCCCTCGCGCGCCTCCGCAAACTCGGTCAAGTCGAGGTTGCTGGTGAAACCTCGACTTGACGGTTCTGGGTTTAGTTTAGGGTTTAGGGTTTAGGGTTTAGGGTTTAGGGTTTAGGGTTTAGGGTTTAGGGTTTAGGGTTTAGGGTTTAGGGTTTAGGGTTTAGGGTTTAGGGTTTAGGGTTTAGGGTTTAGGGTTTAGGGTTTTAGGGTTTAGGGTTTAGGGTTTAGGGTTTAGGGTTTAGGGGGTTAGGGTTAGGGTTTAGTTTAGGGTTTAGGGTTTAGGGTTTAGGGTTTTAGGGTTTAGGGTTTAGGTTTAGGGTTTAGGGTTTAGGGTTAGGTTTAGGGTTTAGGGTTTAGGGGGTTTTAGGGTTTAGGGTTTTAGGGTTTAGGGTTTAGGGTTTAGGGGTTATGGTCTTAGGGTTTAGGGTTTTAGGGTTTAGGGTTTAGGGTTTAGGTAGGGTTTAGGGTTTAGGGTTTAGGGTTTAGGGTTTAGGGTTTAGGGTTTAGGGTTTAGGGTTTAGGGTTTAGGGTTTAGGGTTTAGGGTTTAGGGTTTAGGGTTTAGGGTTTAGGGTTTAGGGTTTAGGGTTTAGGTTAGGGTTTAGGGTTTAGGGTTTAGGGTTTAGGGTTTAGGGTTTAGGGTTTAGGGTTTAGGGTTTAGGGTTTAGGGTTTAGGGTTTATCTGGTGGCTTCCGAAAATAGGGGCACCCCTTTTTGGGGTTCCGTGAAAAAGGATGATAAAGCATTTTGGGAGATCATAAGGGGTACCTTTTCGGACATCCCCATTTGGGGTTCAGGTCGCTTAGGGTTTGGGCTTGGGGTTTGTTGGGGCAGGAAACGGTTGTCATCAGAGGTATCAGTTGGGATGTTCCTAATTCTAACAGTCCTCAATAGGGAGTATAGTACCCCCTATTCTCATCCCTACTACGGACTGTTAGTATAGGGGGGAACATCCCAACCCTAAACCCTAAGCCCTAAACATTCCAAGGTGTCAGCCCTACACTTCTCAGAGATTTCTGAGCACATGCGTCTAAGCCCCCGGAAACCCCAAATCCCTCAACCGGAAAGAAACTTTAAACTCTCACCAAACCTCCCCACCCCGCACCCCCCCCCGGGCCGAAAAACGAACTACAAAAAAAACTAAACCCTAAATCCGTAAACCCTAAAAAACCCCAAAAACCCCAAAACCCAAAAAACCTGAAAACCTGAAAACCTGAAAACCCCAAAACCCCAAACCCCAGAACCCCAAAACCCCCAAAACCCCCAAAACCCCCAAAACCCCAAAACCCCAAAACCCCAAAACCCCAAAACCCCAAAACCCCAAAACCCCAAAACCCCAAACCCCTCAAAGCCTTCAAAGCCCTCAAACACCAAATCCCCAAATCCCCAAAACCCCAAATCCCCCAAAAGCCCCCCCAGAGAGCCCACAGAGATGGCCAGGGCTTAAAACCTCAAAACCCCAAACCCCAAACTCCAAACCCCAAAACCCCAAAATCCCAAAACCCCAAAATCCCTCAAGAGCCATGACCAGGTTTATGGCTCTGCTTCGCCATGGTCAGGGCCCCCTGGTCCAGCTGCGTCACGGCGGTCTCAGCGCGTCGCGTCGGTGGGGGGGGGGGGGGGGTGTACGGTTTGGGGCTTGGGGTGTGGGGCTTTGGGCTTAGGGTTTGGGGTTTAGGGTTTGGGGTTCGGGGTTTAGGGTTTGGGGTTTGGAGTTAAGGTTTAGGGCTTCGGGCTTAGGGTTTAGGGCTGGCTTGGGGGCTTAGGGTTTTTCAGGCCGCAAACCCCTTAAGCATGAAAGTTACCTGAACTCGGGCTCTAAAGTCTTGAGAGAAAGAGAGAGAGAGAGAGAGAGAGAGAGAGAGAGACAGAGAGAGAGAGAGAGACAGAGAGAGAGAGAGACAGAGAGAGAGAGACAGAGAGCGAGAGTTTGATGTGTTCTTTGGGATGGGTGGGAAGGGGAAGGGGGCAACTCCAAACCAGATAAGATTGGGGATTCAGGATCACCGATGCTGGAGCAAGCTTGGAGCACGCGGGGCAAAGGACCCAAAACGCCTAAACACCCGAAAAAACCTGAAGCCGCAAGAACACAACCCTTCAAAAACCTGACAAACCCCTCACAAAAACCTTAAAACCCCAGCAAAAACCCTGACCAAACCTCATAATGAAAGCAAAACTAAGAGGCCCCAAACCTCAGACTAAACCCTAAACCCTAAACCTAAACCCTAAACCCTAAACCCTAAACCCTAAACCCTAAACCCTAAACCTTTACCCTAAACCCTAAACCTTTACCCTAAACCCTAAACCCTAAACCCTAAACCCTAAACCCTAAACCCTAAACCCACCCAACGCCGGTCCTCGATCTCATCGGGGGCGCGCCGCCGCAGGAAGGACTTCGGCCTCTGAGGGCTTTGGGCATTTGAGGGTTTAGGGGTTTCGGTTGCAAAGTTTAGGGTTTAGGGGTTTAGGGTTTAGGGTTCAGGGTTTAGGGTTTAGGGTTTGGGGTTTAGGGTTTAGGGTTTGGGGTTTAGGGTTTGGGGTTTCGGGTTTAGGGTTCAGGGTCTAGGTTTGGGGTTTAGGGTTTGGGGCTGTGAGGGCGTTTAGGGCTGTTTTAGGGCTGACAAGCGACCAAGGAGCCCAAGCCCCCCAAAACCCTAAACCCTAAACCCTAAACCGTAAACCCTAGACCCTGAACCCTCAAACCTCCAAACTCCCAAATTCTTCTAAACCGTTCCAACTCGGGTTTTAAGGTTTAGGGCTTAGGGTTTTGGGTTTAAGGTTTGGGGTTTAGGGTTTAGGGTTTAGGGTTTAGGGTTTAAGGTTTCGGGTAGACATCAGAAACCTCTAAGTTAAGGTGCGTGGTTAGTGTTTAGGGTTTAGGGTTTAGGGTTCAGCGCTGTAATCCAACCCCAAAATGTTGACCCAGATAAAGGTAGGGTTTCCAACGAATGACCTCAGCCAAAATGACCCACATGCCTCCCAGCAAGGCCCTTAAAGCCTGAAACGCTAAATCCCCCAAGCCAAAACCATGAGTGAAAAACCCCAAAACCCTGAAACCCTCAACCCCAAGCCCGTCAACACACCCTGAACTCCAACCCTGAACCCTAGACCCTACACCTTAAACCCTAAACCCGAAACCCTTCAAAACCTCACGCCACGAAACCCGGCCTGTACTCCGCGTCCACGAGCTGATGGGCCTTCCAAGTTTGCGAAGCCCGAATAGCAAGGTCCCACAAGGCTTTGGGGTTTAGGGTTTAGGGCTTAGGGACTAGGGCTTAACGGATTTGAGGTTTTAGGGTGTAAAGTTTAGGGCTTAAGGGTGTAAGGGATTGAGGGGTTTAGGGGTCGCATTTAACGGTTCAGGGGTTTAGGGTTTTAAGGATTCTTAGGGGTTTCAGGGCTTTAAGGGCTTTAAGGGTGCAGGCTTTGAGCTTTAGTGGGATCATGGGTTTCGGGTCCACTTTAGGGACCCTAAACCCTAAACCCTTAACCCTAAACCCTAAACCCTAAACCCTGAACCCTAAAGGCTTTAGGGGTTTGGGTTGGTTGAGGGGGCTTTAGCACTCGGGTGGCGCTGAAGGATTTTGAGTGCACCGAAGGCATGGAGCCGGGGTAGAGTTTAGGGTTTAGGGCTTCAAGGCTTTAGGCTTTAGGGTTTGGGGTTTGGGGTTTGGGGTTTGGGGTTTAGGGTTTTATTTGGGTTTTAGGGTTTTTGGGTATTGGTTTTGGGGTTTGGGGCTTTGGGGTTTTGGGGTTTTGGGGTTTTGGGGTTTTGGGGGTTTTGGGGGTTTTGGGGTTTTGGGGTTTTGGGGTTT